AAACGCATTAGTATTGTTGTATCAGATGTGAATGATAACAGTCCAGAGTTTTCAGCGAGTCCTTACACATTTTATGTTACTGAGAACAACTCTCCTGGAGCTTCACTGTTTTCTGTGAGGGCATCAGACCGCGACGAGGGTGACAATTCTCGTATTTTGTATGACATTTTAAGAGACGGAAAAGAGAATAACAAACTTCAATCATTTAGTCTCAACATAAACTCTGAAAACGGAGACATTTTGGCGCTAAAAAGTTTCGACTTTGAAACTCTGAAAACGTTCCAGTTCCAAGTTGTTGCCTCCGATTCTGGAACTCCGTCACTGAGCAGCAACGTCACAGTGAACGTGTTCATTCTGGATCAGAACGACAACGCTCCAGTCATCCTGTATCCAGTCAGCTCTAACGGTTCTGCTGAAGGTGTGGAGGAGATTCCCCGCAATGTGAACGCAGGACACTTGGTGACTAAAGTCAGAGCCTATGACGCTGATATAGGATATAACGGCTGGTTACTCTTTTCACTGCAGCAAGTCACTGACCACAGTCTCTTTGGTTTGGACCGCTATACAGGACAGATCAGAACACTTCGCTCCTTCACAGAGACAGACGAGGCTGAGCACAAACTGCTCATACTGGTCAAAGACAATGGGAACGTGTCGCTCTCAGCAACAGCTACTGTGGTGGTCAAACTTGTGGAGCCCAAAGAGGCTTTTGCAGCTTCTGATGTTAAAAGTTCAGCCAAAGATGAGGAGGGGACCGATGTGACTTTTTATCTGATGATAACTTTGGGCTCAGTTTCTGTACTTTTTCTCATCAGTATCATCGTGCTGATTGCAATGCAGTGCTCCAAAACCACAGACTATACTTCTAAATATCTGCAAGAGACTAATTATGACGGGACACTGTGCCACAGCATCCAGTACAGATCTGGAGAGAAACGGTACATGTTAGTTGGACCCAGAATGAGTATAGGATCTACTATAGTCCCGGGCAGCCACGCGAACACACTAGTGCTCCCTGACAGGAGGAGGGGATCTGGAGAGGTGAGTAAACATTTATATAGGCTATACTGAATTAGATGATTTAAGGATGTCGTTTTTCATTACCACCCTGGACCATGGTTCTGAAGACGGATTTAAACTGAACCCACATGAGGAACATTCTCATTCAAAATACATAGTGCCATTTAGTATATATCTTTGTAACGTGATAAAATGCATTATCACACACATTCACAGGGTGGCAGTACCTTATAAGTATAACGCCTAAGAGCGTCTCAGCACAGGATACACGAGTCCGCCCCGCACTACCTTCAGTCCGGTTAGACAACACTGAGCTTGCAGACTTCGAATAAGCGCACGGTGACAGTTTTTTGTATTTTGTGAAATCTTTCCTGGGAGACATAAATACATTTCATGCTGTGATGGAAACACGCGTCTAGACAAGTGGAGAATGATGGACGCTTTTGGAGTCGTAATTTCTCCTCAAAACATGAAACAAAGGAGAAGTGAGACATGGCGACAGCGACCACACTCGCTCGCCGTTTTGGTGTTGCTTTTATTTTTTAGAGCAACCTCGGCACAGTTAAGATACTCCATATCTGAAGAGCTCAAAGAGGGAAGTTTTGTTGGAAATATATCTAAAGATTTGGGAATAGACCTGAATGTGATGAAACAGAGGGGGTTTCGCATTATGTCCGGCTCGACTGAACCTCTTTTCAAGGTAAATGAGAATGACGGGGTCCTTTCTCCGAACCATAAAATAGACCGAGAGGTAGTATGTAAGGGGATCAGTGTATGTTTAATTGACCTTAAAACTGTTCTCGAAAACCCACTAGAAGTACATTATGTCACTGTGGAGATAACAGATTTGAACGACCACTCTCCTACATTTCCAGAAAAAACAAAGAGGCTAGAGATCTCAGAGTCTGCGTTGCCAGGGGCACGATATCAGTTGCAAAATGCCCACGACCCAGATGGTGGCACAAATTCTGTCCAACAATATAAAATCAGTCAAAATGACCATTTTCGTTTAGAGATTAAAGATCGCGGGAGAGAAGGTAAAACTCCAATTTTACAATTACAGAAGCAGCTTGACAGAGAGGCCAAAAGAAGCCATACATTGGTGTTGACGGCTATAGACGGCGGGAATCCCGCAAAGACAGGCACAGTTGAAATATACATAGATGTTCTAGATGTTAATGACAATATGCCAGTGTTCACAAAAGACACATATTCAGCCGTGCTACAAGAGAATGCCCCATTTGGCACAACAGTCATCCAAGTTAATGCAACCGATTTGGACGACGGCCCCAATGGGGAAGTTTTTTATTTATTTGGCAGTGATGTAAAAGGTAAAATTCGAGAGCTGTTTGATATCGACTCTGTCACAGGGGAGATAATTGTGAAAGGCCGTCTAGACTTTGAAGAGCAGGACAGCTATGACATTGATATACAGGCCTCTGATAAGGGAAGCATTCCCTTCAGAACAGATAAAAGTGTTATCATTAAAATTAGAGATACAAACGATAACCCTCCTGAGATAGAAGTAGCGTCATTGTCAAGTGCTGTTTCAGAGGACTCTAGACCAGGAACAACCGTAGCGCTTATCAGCATTACTGACTTAGACTCTGGAATGAATGGCAAAATAATCAGCTATGTCGCTGAAGACAGCCCTTTTACATTAACACCATCGATAAAAGATAACATGTTTGCTGTTGTCACTAAGTCACAGCTCGACAGGGAACAGCAATCGAGATATGATATTACATTAATCGCTAAAGACGCAGGTGAACCAGCCTTAACATCCGAAAAGACTATAAGCGTGTATGTGTCAGACACAAATGATAACAGTCCCAATTTTTCAGAGAGCCCCTATACTTTCTACATAATCGAAAATAACCCCCCAGGAGCCTCTGTGTTTTCTGTGAGAGCGTCTGATCGTGACGAAGGAGACAACGCTCTCATTTCATACCATATTGTCAGAGACAGAAGCGAAGAAAACAAAGTGGCTTCATTTCTCAACATAAACTCTGAAAACGGAGACATTTTGGCGCTAAAAAGTTTCGACTTTGAAACTCTGAAAACGTTCCAGTTCCAAGTTGTTGCCTCCGATTCTGGAACTCCGTCACTGAGCAGCAACGTCACAGTGAACGTGTTCATTCTGGATCAGAACGACAACGCTCCAGTCATCCTGTATCCAGTCAGCTCTAACGGTTCTGCTGAAGGTGTGGAGGAGATTCCCCGCAATGTGAACGCAGGACACTTGGTGACTAAAGTCAGAGCCTATGACGCTGATATAGGATATAACGGCTGGTTACTCTTTTCACTGCAGCAAGTCACTGACCACAGTCTCTTTGGTTTGGACCGCTATACAGGACAGATCAGAACACTTCGCTCCTTCACAGAGACAGACGAGGCTGAGCACAAACTGCTCATACTGGTCAAAGACAATGGGAACGTGTCGCTCTCAGCAACAGCTACTGTGGTGGTCAAACTTGTGGAGCCCAAAGAGGCTTTGCAGCTTCTGATGTTAAAAGTTCAGCCAAAGATGAGGAGGGGACCGACGTGACTTTTTATCTGATGATAACTTTGGGCTCAGTTTCTGTACTTTTTCTCATCAGTATCATTGTGCTGATTGCAATGCAGTGCTCCAAAACCACAGACTATACTTCTAAATATCTGCAAGAGACTAATTATGACGGGACACTGTGCCACAGCATCCAGTACAGATCTGGAGAGAAACGGTACATGTTAGTTGGACCCAGAATGAGTATAGGATCTACTATAGTCCCGGGCAGCCACGCGAACACACTAGTGCTCCCTGACAGGAGGAGGGGATCTGGAGAGGTAAGCTCAAAAGTTTGACTCTCGCTCTCCTGTAAGATTTTAATAGCCCACTTTTGCGTAAATAACCATAGCTCAGATTTATAAATCTCAATTTATTTAAATGCTCTAGAGTTTGAAGCTTGTTGCGCCTACCACTAATGTGCAATGTTTTCTGGTTTATATTTGCGGGATCGAGCTTATTAATGTCTATGGTTATGAAATAGCAACACTGATTTGATTTATGGCAAACACTCTTATAGGACAAATAAGAAGATAATGCTTTAATACAATTATCAGACCCCTTTTTTGCAGAGTACAATTTACCATTTAGCAAAGACAAAATTGTTTTGCTGTTTTGTTACACTAAACTGATGCCGATGGGGAAATATATAGGTATGGGCAACTTGCGTTCAACAGTGAGGTTTGCAGGCAAGTTTCAATGCAAACAATAAGTGGATGCAAACTGAGTATTTATGCAATTAAGTGCCTTAGTTAGCTGTTAGCTGTGGATATGTGATTATCACGGGTGTTACAGTTGTCTGGACTGTCTCCTCTCTATTTATGGTCCTGCTGAATCAATATATATATATATATATATATATCTTATACATCTCCGAGTGAAATACGTTAAACATGCGCTGGTGGTTTGGCTAAGTACAGACTGTCGCTGTCCGCGGTGCTGAAACATTTTTCAGAAGCCCCTCTCTTTTGGCAAAATGGTACACATTTATTTGAAGCAGTATAATGTGAAGTGAGAATTTGTGTCTCCATGGACTATCTGTGAAATTAAGGTGTCATATTTACCTCCTCTGTGCTCTATAAGTGGGAATACAGCAGGTGGTATATTCATCTTAAAACGCTTCCTTTTTGGTGCAATGTCTAAGTTTTAATACATTTTACTATTATTTCAAAAAACGTACTGCAGTGTGAATCTCGATCACTTGGTGTCAGTGTAATGACAAATAATGTTTTCACATGTTTTCGTCATAGCCACTAGACCCATCCCCTTCTTCTAAAACCATCACTGACAGAGCCATTTACGTGCTCACGGCTTCCATACAGAATTTAGCTCTCAAAAGTCTAATGCTGTGTTGGAGAATGGTTGGATTATGGCAACGAATGTGACGGAGGAATTTTACGTTAGTGTACCAGTATAGCCCTTTGAAAGCTGATTTTATTTCAAATGTCCGATCTTTACATCATGGAACAAAGACGACGCCAGTCATGCAGAGAGCGGACAAAGTGGGTTGCCTATATCGTGGTGTTGTTTATGTTTTGCACCAGAGCTTCAGGACAATACCGTTATTCAATCTCCGAGGAAGTGAAAGAAGGAACAGTTGTTGGTAATATTGCTAAGGATTTAGGTCTTGATAAGACCACACTGAAAGAGAGAGGGTACCGTATTGTCTATGGCACGACAGAGCCTCCTTTTCGAGTAAATCGAGACGACGGGATATTGTATGTGAAGCGAACAATTGACAGAGAAGAAGTGTGCGACCGAAGCAAGGTTTGTGTAATTGACTTAAAGACCGTGTTGGAAAACCCTCTGGAGGTCCACTATGTAGCAGTGGAAATCCTGGATGTAAACGACCACGAACCAAGTTTCCCCGAAAATGAAAAGATATTAGAGATATCTGAATCTGCACTGCCAGGAGCAAGATTTCAGTTGCAAGCTGCGCGTGATGCTGATAGTGGTTCATTATCCGTTCAGCAGTATACCTTGAGTCATAATGAACATTTTCGTTTGGAGGTGAAAGATCGTGGTGAAGATCGCAAAACTCCTAGTTTAATTCTTCAAAAGCCACTTGATCGAGAATCTGTTAAGTCCCATGTGTTACTCCTGACAGCCATTGATGGAGGTAAACCTCCACGATCCGGTAACATGACAATAATTGTTGATGTCTTTGATGTGAATGATAATCCCCCAGTTTTCACTCAGGATTCTTACACCGTGCAGCTAAAAGAAAATTCTCCTGTTGGTACAACAGTTATTCAAGTTAATGCAACAGATTTGGATGACGGTTCAAATGGTGAAGTCGTTTATTCATTTGGCAATGATGTGGATGCACGGGCACGTGCACGTTTTGATTTAAATTCGGTGACTGGAGTACTTACTGTGGCAGGGTCGATAGATTTTGAAGAATGTAGCAGATACGAAATTGACATCCAGGCATCCGACAAAGCTGCAGCTACACTTGCTACAGAGAAAAGCGTCATTGTTCATATTGTTGATGTAAACGACAACGCACCGGAGATTGAAGTGACATCTTTTTCACATGCTCTTCCGGAAGATTCAAAACCAGGAATCACAGTGGCCTTGATTAGTGTTAAAGATTCGGACTCTGGTCTGAATGGGCAAGTTATGTGTTACATAAACCGAGAGCTTCCATTTACAATCACGCCATCTTTACAAAACAACATGTATTCTCTGGTAACCAAATTGCGTTTGGATAGAGAGCAGCAATCGCAATATGTTGTAACAATTGTTGCTAAAGATGCAGGTGAACCATCCTTAACATCAGACAAAACAATAAACATTGTTGTGTCAGATGTGAATGATAACAGGCCAGTGTTTTCACAGAACCCATACACGTTTTACTTAACTGAGAACAACAACCCGGGAGCATCTATTTTATCAGTGACAGCCCGCGATCATGACGAAGGTAGTAATGCCCTTATTTCATATCATATATTAAGGGACAGAGGCGGAGAACATTTGCTTACATCCTTTCTCAACATAAACTCTGAAAACGGAGACATTTTGGCGCTAAAAAGTTTCGACTTTGAAACTCTGAAAACGTTCCAGTTCCAAGTTGTTGCCTCAGATTCTGGAACTCCGTCACTGAGCAGCAACGTCACAGTGAACGTGTTCATTCTGGATCAGAACGACAACGCTCCAGTCATCCTGTATCCAGTCAGCTCTAACGGTTCTGCTGAAGGTGTGGAGGAGATTCCCCGCAATGTGAACGCAGGACACTTGGTGACTAAAGTCAGAGCCTATGACGCTGATATAGGATATAACGGCTGGTTACTCTTTTCACTGCAGCAAGTCACTGACCACAGTCTCTTTGGTTTGGACCGCTATACAGGACAGATCAGAACACTTCGCTCCTTCACAGAGACAGACGAGGCTGAGCACAAACTGCTCATACTGGTCAAAGACAATGGGAACGTGTCGCTCTCAGCAACAGCTACTGTGGTGGTCAAACTTGTGGAGCCCAAAGAGGCTTTTGCAGCTTCTGATGTTAAAAGTTCAGCCAAAGATGAGGAGGGGACCGACGTGACTTTTTATCTTATGATAACTTTGGGCTCAGTTTCTGTACTTTTTCTCATCAGTATCATCGTGCTGATTGCAATGCAGTGCTCTAAAACCACAGACTATACTTCTAAATATCTGCAAGAGACTAATTATGATGGGACACTGTGCCACAGCATCCAGTACAGATCTGGAGAGAAACGGTACATGTTAGTTGGACCCAGAATGAGTATAGGATCTACTATAGTCCCGGGCAGCCACGCGAACACACTAGTGCTCCCTGACAGGAGGAGGGGATCTGGAGAGGTAAGCCAATTTAAACAAAGTTTTTTTAAATCCTCCATAGACCTATTTAGTTAGACCATCTAGGGGTGAATTTCCCTCCAGAAATAGCAGCAAAGCTGCACCTTCAGCTTTGTACTCAGACATATTTGAAAGCAATTGTTTCGTTTTCATTGTGGTGCATAATTTGTTTTTAACTGTGCTTGTATCACATGTTATTTTTCTTGAACCAGCTGAGGTTCATGGTATTGGATGTTAGAGAGCTATCCTCCAATGGCGTTACTTGTTTTAGTTTGCCTGAAATGCAGATAGAAAGAGGAATGTTGGAACATGTGCTAAAGCTTTTCCAATGTCGGGATATCTTCCCTCGGGAACATTTGAAGATTATCTTTGATATTTTAAATGGCAAGTAGCATAATCTGTGTGAATAACTATTTCAACGCTTGGTGTCAGTGTAGTTCAGTGATTGTGTGCATCTGGCAGCATTTGACATCACGAGCTTCATTTCTCCCGAGCCCACTTACGTTTTTCCTCAAACAGTATACCTGAGCATAAGATCGCAACTGGCAGCAAGAGGTGTTTTATTTTCAGCAGTTTTTGTAACAGCAGCCTTTCGGCGTCGTTTGGAAATATGAGGCATTAATTCTCATTGATATCAGGACGTGGTTAAAGGTCTGCTCTTTATCGCCTTCAAGTCATGGAACAAAGAGGATACAAATCACGGAGGGAGCGACAGTGTTGGTTTGCCTTCATGGTTGTTTTGGATATTCTATGGAGCGGAGCTTCTGCACAGATCAGATATTCGATATCTGAGGAGGTCGAAGATGAAACCGTCGTCGGGAATATAGCTAAGGATTTGGGAATAGACAAGAGTGCACTCAAAGACAGAGGATATCGGATTGTAACAGGCTCAATTGAACCCATGTTCCACGTGAATCAAAATGACGGTGTCTTGTATGTTAAAAGAAAAATAGACAGGGAGGAGGTGTGTGAACGAACCAGCCCATGCTTGATCAATCTGAAAACCGTGCTGGAAAACCCGCTGGAGATCCATTACGTGGCAGTGGAAATACTTGATATAAATGATCACCCGCCTGTTTTTCCAGAGAAAGAGAAAAGGCTTGAGATTTCTGAGTCGGCCTTACCAGGAGCGAGATTTCAACTACAGGCTGCGCGCGACCTCGATGTAGGCCAGTTTTCTATTCAGCAATATAAACTCAGCCATAACGAATATTTTAGACTGGAAGTGAAGGATAGAGGCGAGGACCGTAAAATGCCATTTCTAGTCCTGCAGAGGCAGTTGGATAGAGAAACAGCCGGGAAACATAAACTGAGTCTAACAGCTGTTGATGGAGGAAAACCAGCAAAGTCTGGCGCTATAGAAATAATTGTGGACGTACTTGATGTTAATGACAACTCCCCGGTGTTTACCAATGAGCTGTATTCTGCCACACTTAAAGAAAACGTTCCCTTTGGCACTGTAGTGATTCAGGTAAATGCAACAGATTTTGATCAGGGTGCAAATGGGGAAATCATTTATTCATTTGGTAAAGAAGTTGATTCCAAATTAATGGATGTCTTTAGTATAGACGCCAACACCGGTGAAATTAAAGTAAGCGGTCAGATAGATTTCGAGGAAAGTACAAGTTATGAAATTGACATTCAGGCGTCTGATAAGGGACAAGTTCCTCTAACAACTGACAAAAGTGTTACGATAACTGTTATTGATGTTAATGACAATCCTCCTGAGATTGAAGTGACATCATTCTCTAGCTCAATCAAGGAGGATTCAAAGATAGGAACGACAGTGGCCCTGATTAGTGTAAGTGATTTAGACTCTGGTCTGAATGGAAAAGTTATTTGCACAATCAAAGGAGACGTCCCTTTTACTTTATCTCCATCGATACAAGAAAACATGTACGCTGTTGTAACCAGGTCCCAGTTGGACAGGGAAATTGTTTCCCAATTTGATGTCACAATTATTGCGAAAGACACAGGTGAGCCATTATTTTCAGCTGAAAAGACAATTAGCGTTGTGGTATCAGATGTAAATGACAACAGTCCAGAGTTTGCTTCAAGCCCCTACACGTTTTATATCACTGAGAACAACAGCCCCGGAGCCTCGGTGTTTTCATTAAAAGCTTCTGATCTTGATGAAAGTGACAACGCTCTTATTTCATATCATATTCTGAGAGAAGCAAATGGAGAAAACAAAGTGGCTTCATTTCTCAACATAAACTCTGAAAACGGAGACATTTCAGCGCTAAAAAGTTTCGACTTTGAAACTCTGAAAACGTTCCAGTTCCAAGTTGTTGCCTCAGATTCTGGAACTCCGTCACTGAGCAGCAACGTCACAGTGAACGTGTTCATTCTGGATCAGAACGACAACGCTCCAGTCATCCTGTATCCAGTCAGCTCTAACGGTTCTGCTGAAGGTGTGGAGGAGATTCCCCGCAATGTGAACGCAGGACACTTGGTGACTAAAGTCAGAGCCTATGACGCTGATATAGGATATAACGGCTGGTTACTCTTTTCACTGCAGCAAGTCACTGACCACAGTCTCTTTGGTTTGGACCGCTATACAGGACAGATCAGAACACTTCGCTCCTTCACAGAGACAGACGAGGCTGAGCACAAACTGCTCATACTGGTCAAAGACAATGGGAACGTGTCGCTCTCAGCAACAGCTACTGTGGTGGTCAAACTTGTGGAGCCCAAAGAGGCTTTTGCAGCTTCTGATGTTAAAAGTTCAGCCAAAGATGAGGAGGGGACCGATGTGACTTTTTATCTGATGATAACTTTGGGCTCAGTTTCTGTACTTTTTCTCATCAGTATCATCGTGCTGATTGCAATGCAGTGCTCCAAAACCACAGACTATACTTCTAAATATCTGCAAGAGACTAATTATGACGGGACACTGTGCCACAGCATCCAGTACAGATCTGGAGAGAAACGGTACATGTTAGTTGGACCCAGAATGAGTATAGGATCTACTATAGTCCCGGGCAGCCACGCGAACACACTAGTGCTCCCTGACAGGAGGAGGGGATCTGGAGAGGTAAGATTATATTTGCAGTAGCTTATTATGATATATATTTTCCATTGGTGGTTACTGTTAAGAGATGGTTTGATTGAAAGGTATTTATTTATTAGAAATGTTTTCAAACCTAAAATAGAAACATAGTTGCTTAATTGAGGCCTACTGATTTGCAGGAGGTTACTGTCGCTGTCCTTGGTACTGATTTATTTTTCTCATCAGCCGACGATCATTTGTGTAGGCGTCGTGTGCTTTACCAATTGTTAAGATGGATGTTGCATTGAATGTCAGGGTGCTTTGGGAGAACAAAATACACCGGAGACACATACACCATATATTGTTTGTCAGAACTGGATATTAGAGGAGCTAGGCCACATAAAAGAACACTGAATACCCGAGTGCTTGTGGACAAATATATATAAACTAGTGGGGTCTTTGAATTTCTCTAACTTTATTGCAGTAAAAAGAGAGCTCGCATGGTGTCAGTGTCCGAAAACATAAGTGCTTCACAAGAGCTCATGCCAGCTGTATTTTGGAAACGCCCATTGATGATATAGGCTACTAGTTCAACATTAGCAGCGTCTTTGGAAGCTGACGGTTTTGCCATTATAAATCTGCCTACACATAAAATATATCGAGAAGAGAAAAACATTTGCACTTACTAATCCGCACGATGCTGTTTCTGTGATGCAGTTATTTTCTCGTGAAGGAATATTACATTTCCGTTGGTGACCATGGAACAAAGGAAATATGAGGCACTACGGTGGGTCTGTGTCGTGGTTGCTGTGCTTTTGTGGAGCGTGGCCTCAGCGCAGATACGATATTCCATCTCTGAGGAAGTAAACGAAGGAACTGTGGTCGGAAATGTTGCAAAAGATCTAGGATTAGATAAAAGCACGCTGAATGAAAGGAAGTATCGGATTGTTTCTAGTACAACGGATCCTCTATTCCACGTAAACCAGAACGATGGCATCCTGTATGTGAATCGAAAGATTGACAGAGAAGAGGTGTGCGCGCAGAGCAGTACGTGTTTAATAAATCTGAAAACCGTGCTCGAAAACCCGCTGGAGGTACACTACATTGGAGTTGAGATTTTGGATGTAAATGATCATTCACCCAGCTTCCCAGACATAGAGAAAACGTTAGAAATTTCAGAATCTGTGGTAAGTGGAACGAGATTTCAGCTACAAGCCGCACGAGATCCAGACAGTGGTCATTTCTCCGTGCAACAATATAAACTTAGCCCAAACGATCACTTTCGTTTGGAAGTGAAGGATAAGGGAGAAGATGGAAAGATACCCATTTTAACTGTGCAAAAATATTTGGATAGGGAGGCAGCGGGAAGCCATTCATTAGTGCTGACCGCACTGGATGGAGGGAAACCTATCAAGTCTGGCGATATGAATATTCTTGTAAATGTTTTAGATGTTAATGATAATGCGCCTGTTTTCTCTAAAGACGTTTATTCTGTGATGCTCGATGAAAATGCTCCTCTAGGTACAACAGTCGTGCAAGTAAATGCAACAGATTTGGATGAAGGACCAAACGGAGATGTTATTTACTCATTCAGCAACAGCGTGAATCGTAAGTTATTTAAACTGTTTGAAATAATTCCATCAACAGGGGAGATAATAGTGAAAGGTTTAGTAGACTTCGAGCAAAAGGACAAATATGAAATCGAAATTCAGGCATCTGATAAAGGTCTCGCTCCTCTTACAACAGAAAAAAGCGTCATTATCAAGATAGTTGATGTTAATGATAACGCACCTGAGATTGAAGTTACCTCATTTTCAAGCTCCATCCCTGAAGATTCCAGACCAGGAACTACAGTTGCCCTTATCAGTGTAAATGATTTGGACTCTGGTCTGAATGGAAAAGTTATTTGCTCCATAGATGAGGATGTTCCGTTCACTTTATCACCATCCTTACAGGACAAAATGTATTCTTTGGTCACCAAATCCCCTCTGGACAGAGAGAAAAGGTCACAATATGACCTTACAATAACTGCAAAAGACGCTGGTCATCCTCCATTATCATCTGAGAAAACAATTAGCGTTGTGGTGTCAGATGTGAATGACAACAGTCCAGAGTTTTCACTGAGTCCCTATACTTTCTATGTCACTGAGGGTAACAATCCAGGAGCCTCAGTGTTTTCTGTTAACGCGTCTGATCGTGATGAGAACGACAACGCTCTCATTTCATATCATATTGTCAGAGACAGAAGCGAAGAAAACAAAGTGGCTTCATTTCTCAACATAAACTCTGAAAACGGAGACATTTTGGCGCTAAAAAGTTTCGACTTTGAAACTCTGAAAACGTTCCAGTTCCAAGTTGTTGCCTCCGATTCTGGAACTCCGTCACTGAGCAGCAACGTCACAGTGAACGTGTTCATTCTGGATCAGAACGACAACGCTCCAGTCATCCTGTATCCAGTCAGCTCTAACGGTTCTGCTGAAGGTGTGGAGGAGATTCCCCGCAATGTGAACGCAGGACACTTGGTGACTAAAGTCAGAGCCTATGACGCTGATATAGGATATAACGGCTGGTTACTCTTTTCACTGCAGCAAGTCACTGACCACAGTCTCTTTGGTTTGGACCGCTATACAGGACAGATCAGAACACTTCGCTCCTTCACAGAGACAGACGAGGCTGAGCACAAACTGCTCATACTGGTCAAAGACAATGGGAACGTGTCGCTCTCAGCAACAGCTACTGTGGTGGTCAAACTTGTGGAGCCCAAAGAGGCTTTTGCAGCTTCTGATGTTAAAAGTTCAGCCAAAGATGAGGAGGGGACCGACGTGACTTTTTATCTTATGATAACTTTGGGCTCAGTTTCTGTACTTTTTCTCATCAGTATCATCGTGCTGATTGCAATGCAGTGCTCCAAAACCACAGACTACACTTCTAAATATCTGCAAGAGACTAATTATGACGGGACACTGTGCCACAGCATCCAGTACAGATCTGGAGAGAAACGGTACATGTTAGTTGGACCCAGAATGAGTATAGGATCTACTATAGTCCCGGGCAGCCACGCGAACACACTAGTGCTCCCTGACAGGAGGAGGGGATCTGGAGAGGTAAGACATTCATAAAAAGTTTTTTTTCAACTACATAATTGTTATTTTTATATAAACGTTGTGGCATGTCTGCTGTCCTATCAATGACCCAGGTTCTTACAAGTGAACCTGTGCAAGAATGGCAAGAGCAGTGAAAGATGATAAATCTTAATTGTAAATCGCTTATTTTGGTAAATTGTTTGAGAAGTCCAATTAATATGCTTACTTTTGCCCCTCATATTTACGTCGTTTATTTAACGATTTTATTTACTTTCTGTCTCTACCGATCTTTCCCCTTCTTCTCTATTTTACACTTGCGCAATAGTTTTAACTCGATGTAACTGACCATTAAGTCAATGTTAATCGTGCGTCATTTGATTAGGTGAATCATGTCTTAAGGAAACGAGAACTGATAAAGTTTAGATACACAAGAGCGCTTCATTAGCACGCCTTTACTACCCACACCGTATTCAGCTAAAGGTAACACATAGGCTAATGAGAACCTTATGAAAATGCAGTGGGCCAGTATGGCAGCCTTGGAAAAAACACTGCATTGTTAACAGATAAACTTCAATAATAATGAAAATACTATCACCATATGTAGTTGGACAGAAGTATGGTTGTGATCGGTGTACATGGTGCAGAACGTGAGATCTCTGTTTTCCCAATGTGTGTTTATTAATTGTAGACAATATTTCAAACCACTCACTGACATAATCTGTTTTAATTTCTATGACTTGCTTTTATAATATAAATGTATTGTCACGTGTTGCGTAGTATCTTCTCCACATTTTGAGAAGCTTTGATCTATATCTTTATTGGAATGAGGTTTTGTTTTGACAGGGAGCTGCAACATCATCTATTTTCCTCCACTTGCCTATTGGTGCACTATTTCGAAATTTAAAAAACCACAAAAATCTACCATTCAGCTAAAGCGCACTGTTTTTTTGAATTTTATTTTCTGCAGTAAACATTTAGATCGCATGGTGTCAGTGTAATAGAAACAGTCAGCATTACATGTGCTTGTCGTCAGTGGATTTTGGTTCCACCTCTTCTTAGCTTCCTCTGTTCGATGTTAACACAGTCGTGTCTGAGCTTTCTGCTGCATTTGGAAATATTCTATGTGCCCTCGTGTCTGTTACTTTAGGAAGAGGATCAATATTTTTGCGCATGGAAGAGTTGGATTCTGTCATTATAACGCATTTTTGTGAATGATTACTGGTGATATCGGGTTTAACCATGGAACAAAGAAGATGCGAGCCAGGAAGGGCGAGGGGATGTTTGTTCGGCTGTGTGGCTGCTTTGCTTTTGTGGAGCGTTGCCTCAGCGCAACTAAAATATTCCATTTCTGAGGAAGTTAACGAAGGAACTGTGGTTGCAAATATCGCAAAAGATCTGGGATTAGATAAAAGCACACTGAAAGACAGGAAGTATCGGATTGTTTCTGGTAACGCGGATCCCCTTTTCCATGTAAATCAAAACGATGGCATCCTGTATGTGAGTTCGAAAGATTGACAGAGAAGAGGTGTGCGCGCAGAGCAGTACGTGTTTAATAAATCTGAAAACCGTGCTAGAAAACCCACTGGAGGTACACTATGTAGGCGTGGAAGTGCTGGATATAAATGACAATTCTCCCACTTTCCCAGAGGAAGAGACAACGTTGGAGATTTCAGAATCCGTGTTACCCGGAGTACGTATTCAGCTAAAAGCCTCGCGTGATCAAGACAGTGGTCATTTTTCAGTGCAACACTACAAACTGAGCCACAACGATCATTTCCGTTTGGAGGTTAAGGATAAAGGGGACGATGGTAAAATACCGATATTGGTTGTTCAAAAATCTTTAGATAGGGAATCTGCGGAAAGTCACTCATTAGTGCTGACAGCACTGGATGGAGGGAAACCTCCGAAATCTGGCGATATTGATATTTTAGTCAATGTTTTGGATATTAATGATAACGCCCCTATTTTCACTCAAGATGTTTATTCTGTGATGCTCAACGAAAATGCTCCAGTTGGCACAACAGTTATACAAGTAAATGCAACCGATTTAGATGAAGGACCGAATGGAGAAGTAGTTTATTCATTTACCAACAGTATGAATAAAAGGTTATTAAAGCTATTTGATATAAATCAATCAACGGGTGAAATAATTGTCAAAGGTTTAATAGACTATGAGGATAAAGACAGATATGAAATTGAAATTCGAGCATCTGATAAAGCTCTCGCTCCTTTGGCTACAGAAAAAAGCGTCATTATCAGGATAGTTGATGTTAATGATAACGCACCTGAGATTGAAGTTACCTCATTTTCAAGCTCCATCCCTGAAGATTCCAGACCAGGAACTACAGTTGCCCTTATCAGTGTAAATGATTTGGACTCTGGTCTGAATGGAAAAGTTATTTGCTCCATAGATGAGGATGTTCCTTTTGCTTTATCACCATCCTTACAGGACAAAATGTATTCATTCGTCACCAAATCCCCTCTGGACAGAGAGAAACAGTCACAATATATCATAACAGTCGTTGCAAAAGACGCTGGTCATCCTCCATTATCATCTGAGAAAACAATAAGCGTTGTGGTGTCAGATGTGAATGACAACAGTCCAGAGTTTTCACTGAGTCCCTATACTTTCTATGTCACTGAGGGTAACAATCCAGGAGCCTCAGTGTTTTCTGTTAAAGCGTCTGATCGTGATGAGAACGACAACGCTCTCATTTCATATCATATTGTCAGAGACAGAAGCGAAGAAAACAAAGTGGCTTCATTTCTCAACATAAACTCTGAAAACGGAGACATTTTGGCGCTAAAAAGTTTCGACTTTGAAACTCTGAAAACGTTTCAGTTCCAAGTTGTTGCCTCAGATTCTGGAACTCCGTCACTGAGCAGCAACGTCACAGTGAACGTGTTCATTCTGGATCAGAACGACAACGCTCCAGTCATCCTGTATCCAGTCAGCTCTAACGGTTCTGCTGAAGGTGTGGAGGAGATTCCCCGCAATGTGAACGCAGGACACTTGGTGACTAAAGTCAGAGCCTATGACGCTGATATAGGATATAACGGCTGGTTACTCTTTTCACTGCAGCAAGTCACTGACCACAGTCTCTTTGGTTTGGACCGCTATACAGGACAGATCAGAACACTTCGCTCCTTCACAGAGACAGACGAGGCTGAGCACAAACTGCTCATACTGGTCAAAGACAATGGGAACGTGTCGCTCTCAGCAACAGCTACTGTGGTGGTCAAACTTGTGGAGCCCAAAGAGGCTTTTGCAGCTTCTGATGTTAAAAGTTCAGCCAAAGATGAGGAGGGGACCGATGTGACTTTTTATCTGATGATAACTTTGGGCTCAGTTTCTGTACTTTTTCTCATCAGTATCATCGTGCTGATTGCAATGCAGTGCTCCAAAACCACAGACTATACTTCTAAATATCTGCAAGAGACTAATTATGACGGGACACTGTGCCACAGCATCCAGTACAGATCTGGAGAGAAACGGTACATGTTAGTTGGACCCAGAATGAGTATAGGATCTACTATAGTCCCGGGCAGCCACGCGAATACACTAGTGCTCCCTGACAGGAGGAGGGGATCTGGAGAGGTAAGGATTATTTAAACAAGTTTATAGTCAGTTTATCAGGCAGAACTATCACATTCAATAAACACTTTCGCAAAATGTTCACTTTTAATCTTGTCATACCTTTACAATATCTGAAAGATCTTTATTGTCCACTTGTAAATCTTTTTTTTTCCTACTCTACATAAAACAGAAGGTTAAGCATTAAACATGAAGTAGTTGCTTAATAAGATATCACATTACGACAGTGGAAAGAATGTGATCATGATTAACTGAAGATTAAGCTTTTGATTACTTCAGGTGAACATTTTATTTTACCATTTTATTGTCATTATTATTCTTTTTCACTGTAGATATACTATATTGTATGCATTCAAGGGGCTTTGGGATGCTTTTGAAAAATGTAACATTGGATCCATTGGCAACTTCTGTATTACTTGGGGAGTTTTAAATCATGTCTTTCAGGATATGTTTTCTGTTATGAAATATCGATAAACCATTACCAGGTTGATATAAACAGGGAAACAGGCTGAAACTCTGATTGTCTATCTTTTGTAAGGTCTTTCCATCTACTTCTTGTTTTTTACGCTTGAAAAAAAAATGTGGGTGCAACTGATTGTGCAGCCATATTTTTCCAGGCGTAATTAGACGAGGAGAATCATTACATAAAAAAGAAGAGTCGATTGATTTTAGATACACGACCGTGCTCCATCATCTCACCTTTGCTATACCTAAACCACAGTCAGCCATCGACGACGTGAAATACGGGAAAGATATGGCAGCATGGAAAAAAGTTGAAGAATACCGAATAAAGCTCGACAGAAGTAAATTTTGTTGTAATCGCTGTCGACGGTGCTGAGCATGTCTGCTCTCATTTCCCAGTGTGTGCTCATGAAGAAGATATATTACCAGGTGTTAGTTTGAATATTCTTAACATTTTTCAAGGTTTGTTTATTATTTATGAAATGGGGTCTTTGTATGGAGAATGGACAGCCCCCTGATCTATTTCCATTCATACCAATATGTGTAGGTACTGTTTCAAGATTAGTAAACGACATTTATACAGACAGATAAATATGAACTACCATTCAGTTAACGGCTTCTGGTTTTTGATTTTCTGCAGTAAGAATTTAGATCGCATGGTGTCAGTGTAAAAGAAACTGTCAGCATTGCATGTGCTTGTCGTCAGTGGATTTTGGTTCCACCTCTTCTTAGATTCCTCTGTTCGATGTTAACACAGTCGTTTCTGAGCTTTCTGCTACATTTGGAAATATTCTATGTGCCCTCATGTCTGTCACTGTAGGAAGAGGATGACTATTTTCACGCATGGAAGAGTTGGATTTTCTCATTATAAGGCAGGTATAGTTTTTGTTAATGATTACTGATGATTTCGGGTTTAACCATGGAACAAAGAAGGTACGAGCCAGGAAGGGCGAGAGGATGTCTGGTCGGCTGTGTGGTT